CTCTCTCTCTCTCTCTCTCTCTCTCTCTCTCTCTCTCTCTCTCTCTCTCTCTCTCTCTCTTCGCCGTTGTCTTCTTGTGCAGGTACACTGCACCTTCTTCCGCAGCGCAGCTATGGCGGACTTCCTTCTCCGATGGTGCACCTCGGCTCTGGCGCCTGACTGGCGCACGACTCTTCCCTACTAACAACGACTATGGCGCGTGGGGTAATGGGAACCAGCTCCGATACCAATGCACTCAGACTCGCTTTCACTTCCACTTCACATACATGCAAACAGATGGAGATTCACACTGGCGCAGGGCGCCCACTCAAAGCTCAGAGATATGGAATTCAGATGCAAGTTCACTTCAACAGGCTATGGCGCATCGGCGCCTGACTATCCCAACCTTCGTCACTGTGTCCAACCCCACTGTTCACACACACTCACGCTGGATCGCCCTGAATATCACCACACACACACGCTTAATCTCACTTCCTCCTGCAGTGGCTATCTCTGCACTACCACTACTGACTATGGCTACGATCTCCCTTCAGCCCACTTCGTCTTCGGGCAACCTGCAGACCACCTTCCCACAAGACGCTGTAGCTGCGCTTCCACATGGCTTCCACAGCGAATGAATCCCTGGCTGGACGCTGCCTCTTGATTTATACTTCTATTCATGGCTGGTCTGCCCCTTTCCACCCGGCCCTTGGTGCACACATTCCCACATGTTACTTGGTGGCTGGACTAGGTGAGACCGGGACTGGGTACTGCTGACTGCATGGGATGGTACCGCCGACTCAGTGCAGTCGCACTGCTGACTCGGTGCAGTGGGTTTATCACTTGCCCACTTGCCTCTGGCCTGCTGTGGGCAGTCGTCGAAAGGCCACTTCTGGACCTTCTGGAAGGCTGTAGACTTGGCCTTTCGAAACTGTAGCAGCTACGACCTTGACCTTTCAGGACTGTAGCAGCTACGACCTTGACCCTTCAGGACTCCTACAGCTACGACCTCTACTGTAAACTTTGACCCCTACGCGACAGACCTACGGTTCAAGACCCGACGGACAAACAGGTCTACGACAGACCACTGCTGACTCCTAAAACACAGGTTATGGGTTCAAATACACACACAGGGGTATTGTACACAGGTACCGTGGTCTAGGGATCGAGCCCTGGGATCCGCGTTCGCTACTGCAAAAGGGTGAAAACCGTTTCATATATATATAATATGTGTATTGAACTGTATTCCTAATTTCCTATATATCCCAGTACCCTAGTGGGCCAGTTTCCAACTTCCAATACCCCATATATATATATACAAGCTTAGCGCCCACGGTGCGGGCGGTGCGGCCTACGCCCGCAACCAAAAAGCGGGAAACGACATGCCCACCGGGAAACAACACGCCCACCGGGAAACAAAAAGAAAAGAAAAAACGAAACGACAAAACGACACACCCACCGACACACCTACCGGGAAACAAGAAGAAAAGAAAAAACAAAAAGCAGGAAAAATAAGAAAAAGAAAAGAGGAACGACACGCCCTCAACGAAACAGAAGGAAAAGCAAAAACGAAAAGTGGGAAACGACAGGCCAAAAACGAAAATGCTAAAAGAAAAAAGGCCGCCCGCTTATTGACGGCAGCGGCTTCAAGATCTTCCCTCACATCTATGCCCGCCGCAGCCCGGCCCCGTGGGCGCGCTCGCTCGTTTAATGGCGCGCTGTGAACATTTTGGTACGCGCGCCCCTCTGCACGCTCCCCGACCCTGGATCGCCTTCATCCGCCGGCCCTCCTCAAAACTTCGGCCCCAAATCTGCCGCGCAGCGGACCATCGACCTCCCCCCGTGGCCAATGCTGCTTAAGGGGTAGGATATATATATGTATATATATAATTGAAACAGTTTTCACCTTTCTGCAGTAGCAGATGCAGATCCCAGGGCTTGATCCCTAGTCCTTACCCCACCATGTACAGTACCTGGTAGACCCGAGAGTTGAACCCGTGACCTGTGTACTCGTAGGCAACTGGTAGGCTGTCATAGGTCCGTAGGTTGTAGGGGTTCGATCTGTTGGGCTGTCGAATAGAAGTCCTAGTGAAGTCTAGAAGTCTTAGCTGTAGCCTTCTAGAAGGTCGGCAAGTGGTCAAGTGGACAAGTGGTGAGCCAAGTGGTGGACTAACTGCAGTGCGATTGCAGCACAACCCCAGTAGGTTAGCAGTGAGTCCCTAAGCAGTCAGCGGTGCAGTCCAGTCAGTCCCAGTCCAGTCCAGCAAGTACCATGAGGGACTGTGTGCACCATGGGCCGATGGAAAAGGGCAAACCAACGAGCTGCAGAAGTATAAATCAAGAGGCAGCGCCCAGCCATTCATTCATTCCTGCGTGAGCCATGCGGAAGCGCTGCCACAGCGACTTGTGCAAGGAGGTCTGCAGTGAGCCCGAGGACGAAGTGGGCAGAGAGACGAAGTGTAGCCATAGCGATAGGGTAGAGGCGGCCATAGCCGCCATAGCTGTA